TCAACGGTAAATTTTCCTTCACTCTAGGTTCGATTCCACCGATTTCTCCAGTCCGGTTTACATTCCTCCCAGGGAAGCGCGGGCTCCTTTCCCGAACAGCGGCTGGTAATCAAGTCTACCTTCACTCAACTTTCTTCCACATTAATACTGGGTTACCGTTCCGTTATTGTTTACACGATGCTTTTATCAAAGGTTGTAAAAAACATGAAAATGACCTCAAATTTTGTGCAGAACGTAGCTAATCGGTTTAGAAACGGAAATGAATTTACCTTCATTCCTTTGTCCTCGACAGCATAATTCTTTAAGGCCAAAAGAGAGTTGTTGACAGCTGCACGGTTTAAACCGTGCGTCATCAGCTTGGAGACCGCCACGATAACCTATCAGTAAATGTCGCAAGAGTTAATAACATAACACACACATACCTTAACATAACATTACTTACGCTCCACGATGATAAATAAAGGTCGTATTTGAAGTGTAGAGAATCTCGGTGATAGAACTAATTGCATTGGTTTAATACAAGTTCTTTGGAATGTTTACATGTGAAAATGTTTGAAATATTTTGAAAGATGCTTTGACATGTTGGAGGTTATCTGAATGCTATACAATATCTGGGAGCAGGTGTCAAGGAGCAAACACACACTCTTAGGAGCGGGGCAAGCCAGGTCAAATATGTTTGATTGTGAAAAGCTGTGCATTGGTATGACACTTGAACAATTTTTACACGTTCAAAAAAGTCTGAAAATCGTGGAACAAAACAAATGCAAGCAATAAAAATAATGCAGCTGAGCTTACTACATGTATTAATAACAGCGCTACATTAATTCATTCATTTTACGGTGAATGCTCAATAACCCACTTCCGAGTTGCGCATTGTCTCTGTGTCAAAACGAGTCTTCGTGCAAAAACATTGGGGAGGACTCGTTTTTAAACAGAGGCAAAAGGTAATTCGGATATGGCTAACTTGTGAAAGCAACAAACGTGTACAGTATAACGATTCTACAACAGGAAGCTCGATCCTAAATGACAGCCCTGGGACCGAGGCCGAAATGGCAATGAAGTCTCGCCATGTGAATTGCAATTCATTTAGACTAACTAAACATGATGAGTTGCTAAGAAACCAGCTAGTTAGTTTATAAAGGAAATTAAATTTCGCGGCGAGTTTGTGAAGCTCACACTTGGACTTTCAGTCCTGCGTGATGAAAAATGTTCCACCACGCCGGCAATAGCAATTGGGAGATTTTCACGTGTTGTCTGAGGATATGAATTTCACTAAAGAACTACAGATCGTTGATTAGTTGAATTAGCATGTCCTTAATGAAAGAGAAGAAAGACTAGTTTCACATGTAGTGGTCTTGTGCAATTTAAGGCTTTAGATTAAATACGGTACCACGTGCAGGGAACGTTCAATAAAGTGTGAATTAAGAGGTAATAATAAATGCACTTTGGCAGTGACAGAATCGCGATCGCACTACCATCCTTGCACTTTGATGATTAATTAAACCTCTGACATGTCGTAAATTATAGAGCCCAATTTTTCATTGCAAGAATATATTTTGTCTAAAATTGGTTGTATTTAGGCTACAGAGGAATATTCTTTTAAAATTTAAAAACACAAACTTGTGGAGATCGTAACTACAGTCTGAGCCAAACATTTTGTTTAAATTTACG